CTCTCTCTCTCTCTCTCTCTCTCTCTCTCTCTCTCTCACACACACACACACACACGATGGCAGGGGGAGTCCAAAAATCAAAAGACAGACCGAAAAACCACTGTATTACTTTTTTAAAAAAATCTCATGATTTTTGGGGATCAGACTCACAATTTTTGATCTCTTGAGGTTGACAGTACTGCCAACACCATGAGACTTGTGATAAAGTCATGAGAACTGGCAGCACCGAAAAGAATTTCTGTTTGTAGCTAAGGTTAACTGAACCCAGCAGAGTTGGCAAATAGAATACATGCTGGAGAACACTAGTGGGAGTTTAGTCAAGGTAGTCTGGGAAGGACCAAGAGACAGTCCATATGGTGGGAGCTATTGCATTTTGGGGAATTTGCTTAAATAAATAATTCATTTTAACCCTACTGACTGCTTGGGTATTTCAACCAAAATACAACACAGAATAAAAGGGGTGAATGCACAAATTCACTCAGGCACTGTATGACATCTGTGAGCATAGTCTGATGAGTGGAACTAGAGAAAGTGGGTCAGGTTTCAGGAGGGACCTAGTTTGGTGTATCACCCAGGGCCCAGGCACCGTTGGATGGAAGCTGTGTGCAGTCTGCCACCAGACACAGTCAGGCCTCTCAGCAACTGCCTACATGCTTACAGCTCTCTTTCCTCCAACTCTGCCTGCAGCACTTATTGCTAATGAAACAGTGAGAAAATACCCTGGAGCCATTCAGTTGGCAAGAAAGGTAAGAATTTAAACCTTAGCTACACTGGGTCTTGGATCAGATAAATATGTGAAACTAATAGATCCTGAGCAGTCTGACCCCAGATCAGCCAGCTGGCACGTGACTTAAAACAGGAGCTGTGCAACACTTTCAGTGGGAAAACCCACAACCACCAAGGACTCATTTGCCTGTTTTCAGGACCATGCACAAACAGCAACTGATTCCTCTACATCTCAGACCTGTAAATGTTTCAGTTGAACTAGAGTTAATACTTTTCATTGGCTGGATAGATTATTATTTGTTGAGTGGCAGTTCTGCACAGTACACGGACAACACTTCTGCTTGCCTCCAAAGTATTTACAATCTAAAAAGACAAAACAACAGACAGTAATTCAAAGCACGATGTAACCAGAAAGTGGATGCTTCTTATCATGGTGCAGTATTTTGTGAATGTTGCACTGTAAAAAAACAAAAACAAGTTAGCCTAAGCAGTTCTTCAGGTGTGGGATGAACAGTGCTAGGCTTCATGGAAAACGTAGGGATTGGGGGGAAAATGTAGGTGTGTAACTTTGAAATATGAGTTTCACTAGTTCGTTTCAAGAGCAAAAAGACACCCAGTGTATTTTAAGTACCATAATAAGTACTTTGGGTCCCTCACTAGTGTTCTTCAGGGATCAGAGTCTCCCATTTCATAAAATGTTTTTTACTTAATAGCTTACTTAGGGAGTTCTTAAATTCTGGCTCCCATGCCCTTCTCCAGCCTACTTCCTGGCATCTCCACAAGATGGTACTATGTAACATACCTCAGGAGATTGGGCGGGACAGCTCTGCTTACCCTTGCTGCTACTGCTGTGTTTAGAAGCACTGAAGGAGGGTTTGTTTTGTTTTTCACCTCCAATAAAAATTTCACTAGTGCCAGTCCCAACTTTGAATAGAAAATATACTCTCCCAGCGCTCTGCCATGACCACAAGAGCCGCGGCAGTGCTTTAGCATTGCCAGTGTAGTACTAGCCCTAAGTAAGTAAAAAGAAGAACAGGAGTACTTGTGGCACCTTAGAGACTTAACAAATTTTATTAGACATAAGCTTTTCGTGGA